CGTATATCCTGAAACGCGATGTGTATGGTTTCCTCTCTCCCTGAGTGTTACCCAGTAACAATTTATAGCAAACTTAACGTCGTCTTTAACATCATATCCTTTACCTTTTTCATTCTGACCAATCCCAAATCTATGCTTATGCCAACCTGCTTGAGATGTACTTAAATCTATGTAGTGACTGTGTGCAGGTAAATTTTCACCTGAAATCGTTTTACTTCCACCTGTTTCCTTTGAAGAGTTTGCACAATACAAAAACCTGTCGACTATTTGAGTCCAAGTTCCAAAACCAAACTGTTTCTGGTCTGGTAGAGTTCATTGACGTATAAATAGAGCCTATAGGATATAATGTTTGAAGTATTTCTGTCTTTAATGTTTGAAGCTCTGTTTTGTCTGCTTTCTTGTCATATAAATCTTGAGCAGTGAATTTAATATTATGTTCATCCTTCATGACATAAACATCTTTACATCTAATGTTTTTCATCGTCGTTATGTCGTCATCCGATGTTAAACCTTGTGGAAAGTTAGGAGGTTTACAATATAATGCATCCCCCCAGTTTCTTCAACCGTTCCTTCAATATTTTCTATACCAAACAGTTGCGAAGAAATCGTGTGTATGTCCAACGTCACTTTTCCTGTTTAAGGTTTCTTGTAAGTTTGTAATATTTGCAATGGTATGTGTATGGTTCTTATCCGCTTTAAGGTCTAAACATCCTGAAACCCACCCTGTATCGGCTTTAGTTTTTAAAATCTTTGTTGTCCGTTCATTATACCATTCAACCCTTTCTTTAATTTCATTGTCTTTTTCATCCACATATCCTTATCTGCCTTCTCACTAACCCACTAGCCACATATGCTAACTCATCGTCAACATACTCTTTGTCAGCTTTCTTTTCAACATCTGCTTTCGTTGCATATGTTGCATCTGCTCTGTCATGTTCTTCTTGAACTTTTTCAATGACATATTCTTTGTCAGCTTTGTTGTCAATATCTGCTTTCAAAAGAAGTTCAGATATAGGTTTCTCGTTTAAAGTTCCTTTTGTTGGATTTATACAGACAGTATGGTTCTTATTGTCTTGAAACAGAAACTCATCTGTCATTGGGTTTAATGTCAGTTTTAAGTTTCCCTTCTTTCAATGACTCAGATATCTTAGAATAGTTTGAAAAGTTTGTTTGTGTTCTTATTTAGAGCTTGCATAATGAGTTGTCGGTGTTTGTATTTCTCTCATGGAAGCATATCTTTCGACATTTTTATTCTAGATAAAATATGCTTCCAATAGAAAAAGAAAATTCAAGAGTTGCTACACTAAACATTAGATGAACTTTTTACTAATGTCGGTCAAAGTTTGAGACAGAGACCGTAAAGCATGAAGGCTATCGTTTTGACTACCCATTAAGATGGCTAAGAGACCCATCTGTCACAAAAGCTATTGGCTTTCGTAGAATGAAGTTTGTGTCTGTAGAGATAAAAGTTTTCCATTTATTGTAAGGTTTCATATAGATTATATATCTGAAGGGAAACGAAAAATGTGGGAAGAAATTGAGCTAATACAAGTTGACCTTTCATCTTCTCTACAGACTGCGTTAAAAAATATAGAAGATAAAATAAATTCATGTTATGCAAAATATGCTGATGAATATGCAAATACCGAGAGCACACTTTATGTGAGAATTGTATATGACAAACAAAATTCACAAGTGTCATTTCAAATCTACGAAGACAATCCAAAGAAAGACGAACAAATATATACAGAATTCACTGCAATGTCATGGTATTATTTGCAAAGAATGTTAAATCAGAAAGTCGAACTTCCTTTAGCAAATATTTACAGTCGATATGCAAGAGATGAACCATATTTATTTAAAGATGTTTTCGACCCAGCTGCTATTATTGTTCATGCTTCATTTTCTGGCGCCCAAAACTCTTTCTTATGCTTGGCAAATGACTTTTACGAAAAACCTACAAAGTTATACGAACCACCAAGTGGAAGTATTTCAGACTTTCAAGTATGGTTTACTACAGATGGAAGAAAAAGAATAATTCCATTATACCATGCGTTTTACTTAGAACTTAGTTTCATATACAACTACTATCGAACGGTAAAAATATAATTTTTTAATACGGTTGAGGTGTTGGATTTGGTTGCCAACTAGACTGTGGTGCAGGTTCAGGCTGTTGTATAACAGGAGCTTGTTCTTCTGGTTCAGGGTCTTTAGGTATAATACCAACGAACTGACCTACTCTTTTACCAATATTTTTGACACCGTTCCAAATTCCTCTTCCTACGGTTTTTATTCCATTCCATATACCTCTTCCAACTCTTCTGAAGAAGTTTCCAATACTACTGAAGAAACCCATTTTACTATATGTAAAAATCTAATGTCCGCCTAGTCTCTTACGTTTCCTGTTGAGTTCCATAGCATTCTTTAACTGGAGCTCATACATTCTGTTTCTCCTCTGGTAGAAAACATATTCTGGGTCAACTCCTGTGTTCGCGTCATCTGCATAAAGTTGTTTATATCCCACTTCAGGGTTTGTATAAAACTCTTTCCATCTCATATTTGCATACCATGGTGGCAAACCTAACGCAGCGTCATTTGACATGGCAGTTTGCATTTGTACATCTGTTGGCACTTGACCATAGTTTGCCATTGCAGTTTGTATTCTAACTTCATTTGGAATATTCTCTGGGTTTGGTTGTCCAGGTTGCTGTGCATTTGCTAAGTTCTGTGCGTCCATTTAATATTAGATAAAAATATCTCTTACGAGTACATATGCTGAACATTTGCAGGCATTGGTTCATCTTCATATTCTCTGTACTTTTCTGCCACGTCAAATAAATAAATGACACAATGGAAAAAACCTAAAACAAGTAGTCCTATTTCAAACCACATTTACTTACTAGTAAAATTTCTTTGTTATGACACTTTCTCCGGTTTATAGGACCTCTCTCATATTCTATCTTGTCATATATAAACTCATAGTCATGTATGTCCTCTAACCATCTCATAACGGTTTCCAAACCACTTTTATCGGATGTAAAGTAAAAGCATGGATGGTTATGTAAAACGTCTAAAGTTTCTAAAGAGTCTCTCAAAGTCCAGTCTACTTGGTATTGAAAATCCCATGTGTTATAGAACGGCGGGTCCACTATAAAGAAAACATTTTCCTTGTCTTTATATTTTTCATACAACTCTGTCCAATGACATCTCACAAACTCTATACCCTCAATATATTTTTCTATGTCCTCTTTGAAAACATTTGTATAGTTAAGATATAAAACTTTTGACATAAGTGTTTCAATGTCATGAACTCTTATAGCACCACTATATAATAGTCTAGCAGATATACTATCCCAGTCTATATATTCTGCTTTTTTCAAAACCTCTCTCACAATATTTTTGTTATCTAATGGTATACGTTCCATCTTACCGATAGGTATCTTTTCTTTTAACTCTTTCAATATATTGTTTGTGTCTGGTATATGTTTGAGACGGTCCATATAGTTGTCGAAGTCATTGCATATAATCTTTGAGTCTGGGAATATTGTATGGCACAAATGGGATATATAGAAACTTCCACCGAACAAATCTACAAATGTTAGACCATTCGGTAGTTTCTTAAGTTCTCTCAATATAATATCTTTACATTTACTCTTATTTCCAAAGAACGGTAACGGTGGTTTTGTAAAATTCATTTATATATAATAATAAAAATGTTTTTACCCGAAAAGTGACAGAAAAGTGACAAAACATGAAAACATATATAATTTGTGAAAAGCGACACATTATATAATGTTTTCGACCCAGAAGAAGGCTTCTTCCCAGAAGCAATGGAGGAAGAAGAAGAGTCCTCCGAATATAAACTTCATTTATACTAAACATCTTCGGGGCTAGAGGGCACGAAGTGCCTGGAAGCCCCACTACCTTTTTTTTTTTTTTTTTTTTTTTTTGTTTAATTTATACTCATCATGAAATTTATTATTTCTAAAGAATAATTCGAGTTCTTCAAATTTAATTTATTTTCAAAAAAAAAAATCATATGTATTATTCAGCCAATTATATGGCATTTGCTAATACTTAAAGTGGACCTTATAAATTTCAAACAGGTGCCAAGAAAAGAATGATACATTCTCATATCGTCACTATCTAACAAATCATAGAGGTATTACTCAATCAGTGTGAGACAAATCCTATTTACAGCTAATGTGTACCGATATATTCATTATATTTCATAAAAATATACTCAATAATATATCAAATTCCATCAGATAACGATATTTATCAAATTTAACTATTAAACAATATTTGCTTATCAATAACATGTAGATTAACATAAGGACATTGTATAAATATAGATTCTAAAATTTCAGAGAATTTTTATTTTTAAATTTTTCTTGAAAATATTAATGTACTATGAACATATAATATTTTTATAATTAAGTTCTCAAATTATTTGAAAAGGTTCTGAAATCTATTTTTGAGACCACTATAAAGTTAGTTTGCTTACTTTTATAATACGCTTTTTAAAAGTTACTAAGTTAGTTTTTATATAGTATGCTAGTTAAAGCCTCAATAAAAAATCAATTAAAAATGAAACTTTATATTTGGCTTGAATATATCTATTTTATGAACCAGCATCATGCCATATTTATTATTGATTATCAAAACTGTAAACACTTAACTAATAAAATTTTTATCAAATTAATTCGCGTATTTAGCCCTCGAATCGGTGAGGCAGATGGAGCTGAAGTGGAGGAATCATTTCCTGTTTAAAGAATAGAAATTACGAGTTACAACACGCTGCCCACTTTTGTATCGACTCTTCAAATTTTTAAGAAATTGAAGACTCGAAAATGAAAAGCATTTCTGGCATAATTCCTAAAGAAAATTATCAGGAAATGGCCTTTTCTATGCCTTTTGTAATATTTTTTATGCTTTTTTCATTTCCGATTTCCATTCATCCTCATTTTATTTCAGAAATAAGTTTTCCAATCAGGAAAATGGAAAAAATTACTTCAAATCAAGAAATTCATTACATTCAGGAAAAATGGGGAGACTGCTTAGAATATGTCGATGAAATAACAATTTATAATATTTCATTCCCTGATCCTACTGGGCATCTATTTGGATTTACTGAAAATTTAGAATTTTCTGAATACAGATTATATGAAAATACGTTTTTAATTCCGAAATATCCTAAACCAGAATATATGCAATACATGACTCAGTTCAAGAGTAAATTTGCTTATTATAGAAACGCCTACGCTTCGCATAATGGTGAATTTGTTGTTAATAACTATAGAATTAGACCATTATGGGATACAGCTCCACCTTTTGCACGATCTGGTGCTGGTGGACGTGTAGTTTTAGAGTGCGATAAAGCCTGCGTGTTTGGTCACGGGAACACCAAAAATTTCGGTCATTTTGTAATAGATTATTTATCACCTTTGATGCTTGTACCAGAAGAATTTTTTAATGATTGCGTAGTTGTTGTAAGCAAAGATACAAATAGATTTGCCGAAGACTTCTTACGTGCTATTGGCGTTCAAAAATACATTTCATTAGAATACGACGAATGTGTATTTGCAAAAAGACTATGTGTTTCAATAGAACCACGACCTCATTACGGCCACTTTGGACCTCCAATTCAAATGCTACATCAAAGACTCAGTAAGTTTTACAATCTATATGCTGTTAAACCAAGTAAATTTGTTCTTCTAAATAGACAAGGAGTAAGAAGAATCTCAAATATTGCTGATATTCATAGCGCTCTTAAAGAGAAATATCCAGAATACAATTGGGAAATTATCAAAGACAATATTTCTCCAATTGAATTTTACGCGAAAATTTTTTCATCTTTGAGATTTTGTTTGACAGCACAAGGTAGTAATATGATAAAATCTATATTTATGAGACCAGAAACAACAATGGTTATTCTAGGAGATTCATATGTTGAACTTTCATGGATGACTTTCTTATCAATTCCTATTTATGCTGTGATTTATCTTCATAAAGCTCCACATTTCTCAGGAGAAATACACACTGAAATTCCAAGATGTGTCAAAGCAGTCGATGCTGCAGTAGCAATGATCAAAAATGGTAAATGGCCAGCTGTAGAACCAAATGTTACTTTCATTGATTACTTAGATAACTTCACTGTTCCAAAGAATTAAGAATGTTAGAGAAATTACATGCTATGTTATGTTTTTAATTTTCGTACTTTTTTGTTGACTTTATGAAGCGATAAAAGTTGTCTATCAAATGCCACTTTTTGTCCTAGGAACATAGATTTTATGCGACTTTTAGATAGGTAAACCACTATTCACGTATTATAAAGATTCATATTCCAATAAGCTGGCCCTAAATATTCTTAATTTCCAATTATTACCTCTTTTCTACGATAACGAAATTAAATTGGTTATCAAATTGACCCCATAAAAGCTGGAATTAGATTCGGAAATATAGAATTATGAAATAACTCTAACAGAATGAAATTGGAACATTTCCTATTTACGCCACATACCATTTTCAATAGAATTTGTAGTAACTTATAATTATTCTTATATAAAAGATGATTTTTCATGTTAATCTTATCGAAAACTTTATCTTGCATAATATTTTACTCATTTCCTATCAATTTAGACTTTAAATGGTAATCATTAACAAACTTTAGCTTAAATTGAGCATCTTAACCTATTGCAGCTCAATATCATTTCGTAAAGATGATCCGAACTTTGCCAGACAATCAAGTCATGCACTTGGATTTTCATACGAAGTTGGTCTCGTTCAAAATGTCTTGTTATAAGAATATTGAATCGAAAATTAATTAAAATTTCTATTTTTTAAATTGGATTTGTAGCCCATTTAGCAAAATAGGTGGCCACTAAGCTCCTACCGATATAATGGGACAATTTTCTCCGTTACTATAGTTACTGAAATGCACGAATCATTCAGTGACCGTGACGGAAAATGAAGTGCGGCTATCAAGTTTACATTTTCTTTCAATTTATTTGGCCGTCAAAATGAAGACATAAAAAATGCCGGACTCTATATGATATATAAATAAAAATTAATATATTTATTTATAAAATTCGAATAAGGGTTTCGTTTTGCGAAAAAAACGTACAATACGCAATTTCGCTAAAAAAACATTTAGCTAGCAATTTCGACCTTTGACTCCACTCAAGACGTCACTTTTTTAATTTTGCGGTATCATATTTTTGGAAAATCTTTATGAATATTATATAAAAAGTCTCTTTAATATCTATATTTCATATTTTTATCGATTTTTAAAGTTTTTGCGAAAAGTATTCAATTATTTTTGCTATTTGGTCGGGTAAATATCAGATTTGCGACATTTTCTGATATGATATTCAGATTCTACGTTGATAATAATGCTTATAGAACCCTCTTGCTATTGTGTCAAAATTGCGAAACCGATAGCAAAAATATCTCGCAATATCAAAATTGAGATATTGAGTGAATTATGCATTATAGAGATTAAAAATCTGATTTGTGAAAACATCTCATCAGTTTCTAGCTAATTCAAAAATCTTTACTATCTTATTCGATTAAAATGAAAAGGGAATAGTTTCATTATGCTTTAAATGACAACCTTATAATATAATCATAGTTTTCGCTCAATATGCAGCATTTTTTTTTCGAAATCTATGGTCAATGTCCTAAATACTGATTGCTTTGCATTCATATCTCTTACATTTTCTATACCCACATCACTATTCATTGCTATTCCTATCTTTTTCATTTTTGTTTGTTTCTCATAATTTCTCAAAAAACACGATAACTTGATATTTGTAAATATCATACTTTATAACGTAAATAAGAACTTGACCTATTAAGAAAAGCAGTAATGAAAAGAAAATCTGAAATTCATAAAAATTACAAGTTTCTGATGACAATTAGCTTAATTAAACCAGGTACAAGATTATATAATTGTATTTTCTATCCAATTATCCATATAATATCTTATCCAGAAAAAATAACTTGATCAATACCAAATGATTTTTTAACTAGTAAATAAAGTATTTTCTTTACACACACATTGTATATCATAGTTTTTTTTTGGTTTCGCAAAACATCCAAAAACAAATATGCTATAAAAGTGACAATTTTAGCAAAACGAAACCCTTAATTCGAAATAAATAAAAGCTATAATAGAACAAATCGAGAGCAAAATGAACTGAAGAGGTTTCGGAACGCGTTTCTTTTTGCTCGGCGCAGATATTATTTGCATGCGACGGTTAAGATCATCATAGAACTCCGGCTTTACTCTTTGGCTTCGGTGAGTTATTTCTTCTCTGTTTGTTTGAAGTTCTTCATTTCTATGGTTCAATTCGTCAATCTCCAAATCTCTTTTTCTAACTTCATTTTGCTTTTCTTCTAATTCATATCTGAGTTTCTCCAATTCTGAACTCAAATCATCAAATTTTGACTGAGTATCTAACTTCTTTTCTCCATTTTCGCTCAATTTTCGCTTCAGTTTCTCCATATCATTTTGGAGCTTCAAGTTTTGAATTTCGTGTTCAGTTAGTTGCTTCTGTAAATTTGTTAACTCATTTCTGTGTCTTTCTCTTATTTTTTCCAGCTCATTTTGGTGAGAATCCTCTTTCTCTTTCAATTCTTTTTGAATATTATTTAGCATTCTTTGTAAATCATTTAATTTATCTTGTAGTGATTTGATTTCGATTTGATTTTGTCTTTTGATTTTTTCCAAATTCAAGCTGTTGCTCTTTTCGTTTTGAAGATCAAATTTCAGATTCGACAATTCACTCACGTATTTCTCCTTTTGGGCTATCAGTTTGTTTTCGATTTCCTGCCTTTCTAGTTCAATTTCTTTTTGTTTTTTAAGCAAGTTTTCGATTTCCAAATCGTTCTTTTTCATCTGGTTATCTATCTCTTGTTTGTGCTTTTTCATTTGATTTGAAATATCTTCTTCAAGTCTCTTCTTATACTGTACTGTTTCGTCGAGTTCATCTTCCATTTTATATAACTCTTTCTCCAATTTCTGCTTTTCATTTTCCAAATTATTGATTTTTTCTAACAAGCCTCCAATCTCAGATTCGTGATTTTCCTTTTGTTTTTCAAGTAATTCATTTGAATGCATAACCTGTTCATCAAAAATTGGTTTCTGTAATTTCAAATCCTCATTTTCTTTCTGGAGACTTGAAATTATTTCTTTCAATTTCTGAATTGTTTCTTTTTCTTCGTTCAGCAAATTACTTTTATTTTCCAGTTCGTTTTGGAGGGTATTTAATTTCTTATGTAAACCAGAAATTTGATCATCTTTTTGTTCTTGTATTTTGAATTTTTCATCTTTCAAAGATGATATTTCTGAAATTAATTTCTGATTTTGGTTTTGAAGCTCAATAAAGTTCTTTTTATTGTTTTGGAGTTCTGCTTGATGTCTCTTATTTTCACTCATGATAACGTTCTTTAAATGTCCGATTTCTTTCTCCAAATTTCCTTGAGAAATTGAAAAATCTTTGGATAAATTATCACTCTTCAGTTTTTCAATTTCAACTTGTTTTGCAAAATTTTTCTCCAATTCTTTCTTTTGCTTCTCAAAAATCTCATTTAGTTCTTTCGACTTATCTTCAATCTCCTTCAATTTTTCTTCATTCATATGGCTGGAGATATCTTTGTTCTCTGTTCGTAAATGTTCTAATTCTAACATTAATTTGTCGATGTCATTCTTTTGATTTTGTAAATCCGATTTTTGTTTGGAAATTTGAATTTGAAATTCTGTATTTTGCTTTCCAATTTCTTGAATTTCATTCTTTAAAGACGAATTTTCTTCCAAAATAGATTTGCTTTTGTCATTCTCTTCTGAGAGTTTTTGCTTTAGACTAATGTTATCATTTTGTAAATCATTCAAATCTTTCTGAAGTTGTTGATTTTGATTTTCTATTTGAGATAATTTTTCAAGAAGATTTTGAATATTTTTGCTTTGGTTTTTGTTATCTTCAACTAAACTTATCTGTTTTTCTGACAGAGAATCAATTTCTTTCTTTTGTCTTTCTACTACTTGTTCATGATTTTCTTGATTTTGCGCTAATTTTTGAATTAATTTTTCATTGTCATTTTTCAATTTTGACATTTTGTTTTCAAGATCGTTTTTAACTTTCTCTAAATTGGTGATCTTACTTTGCAAATCAGTATTGCTCGCATTCAAATTATTCAAGAAATCTCTTAGGTTTTTGTTTTTATTTTCTAATTCACTTTTATCACTCTCTAAACTGCTCTTAACATTTTCCAAATCAGAAAGCTTGTTCTTGAGATTGGAGTTATCAGCTTGTAATCCATCTCTATTTATTTGTAAGTCATTCAACTTATTATTTAATGCAGAAATTTGGCTTTTGCTTTCAGTTTGTAATGATTTTATTTGTGAATCACTTTCTTTTTCCAAAATATTCAAATCATTTTGGAGTTTTTGTTTCTCATTTTCCAACAGAGAAATTTGATTTTGAAGTTTTTGGATTTCATTTTTGTTTCGATTTTTAATGTCATTAAATTCTTCTTCGAATTTCTTTGAGTAATCGTTTGATATGTTCTGCAAATCATTTGCAAACTTTTGAGAATTTTGGAGAATTTCTTGCTTAAGATTCTCGTTATCCACAAGGTGTTTTGTATTTTCCTTTTCCAAAATTTCTTTCTCTTTCTGTAATTTGTCGATCTGACTTTGCAAATCTTCAATTTGCTTTTGCAAAGACAAAATTTCGGATTTTTGTTTTTCATTCAAATCTTCAATTTTTTGCTTTTCATCTTTGTGCTCGAATATCTTTTGCTGGTGATCTTTTCTCTCTTCGGCCAAGTCATTCAAATATTCTTTCTTCAGGTCCAAAATTTGGTTATTGAGATCTCTTTTTGCAGAAGCGATTTCTTCTTCCTTTTGGAGATACAAATGATGCAAATCGTTGTCAAATTTCCTTTTCTGAGCTTCGTATTCATCGATAAATCTCTTTTCTCTCTCTGAGTTTTGTTTTTCTATTTTTGCTTTCTCATCGTTTAATGTGAAAATTTTTCCTTCCAACTTCTGTATATCTAGTTTTAATTGGGCAGTTTGTAAATTTTTGGCTTGATTTTGATTGAGATTTTCCATCATTTTCTGCTTCTCGTTCTGAAGTTCAGCAATTTGGTTCTGGAAGTTAGAAATAGTTTCATCGAAATTGATTTTTTGCCTCTCGTTTTCCTTCGATTTAACTTCTTCGATTTCTTTGATTTCTTTATCTTTGGATTTCTGGAGATTTTCAATTTCGCTTTGGAAAAACTCTTTCTGTTTCTGGAGTTGATTTTCTTTTTCGCGTTTTAACATATCAATGAGTTCATCCTTTTCTTTATTTTCATTTGAAATAAGATCTTTCTCTTTCAAATCTGATTCAAGTTTCGAAATTGTTGAAGTTAGATCAGAAATTTGGTTTTGCATTTCATTTAATTTGTTTTGCAGTTTGTTATTATCATTTTCGAGATTATCATTATCTTCTTTAATTTTATCCAATTGAATTTGTAATTTAGTAAGATTTTCCTTTAATTTTTGACATTCTTCTGTCAATTTTTGTTTTTCACTTGCCAATTTTTCGTTCTCCTTCATCAAATATTGGTTGTCGTCCGTCATTTTTTGGGAATTTGTTAATAATTTTTGATTGTTGTCTTTTAATTCCGAAATTTCAGATTTTGTTTGTGATAGGTTATTTTGAATTTCCTGTTTCTGATTTTCAAGGAGATCAATTTTATTTTGGAGTTTGATTTTTTCAAGATCCTTTTCTTGATATTTATTGTTTTCTTCCAATATTTTAATTTTCTCAGATAAGTCATCGATTTGACCTTGATATTTTTTGATTGTGGAGTTCATGTTTTGGATTATTTCTTCTTTGTCATTTACCAAATTCTCTAAATTATGTTTTTCGGCATCTGAATTTTCTTTGGCTTTTTGTATTTCCTCGATACTCTGATTTAGGGAAATGATATCTTTCTGATGCTCTTGCATTTCATTTTCCATGTCTTGGACATACTTCTTCTTGTTTTCTTGAAGTTCATTTTGATATTTTTTGACTTCATTTTTGAGTGAATCATTCAATTCATTTAATTTTTGGATTTCATTTTGATATTTCTTTTGATTTTCATCAAGTTTTTGGTTCATTTTCTGTATTTCTGAATGAGATTTACCTAATTCATTATCGAATTGTCTTTGGTTCTTGTCTAAATCAATTTTGTTCTTCATTAATTCAGCTTCTAACTCATTGATTTTCTTTTTCAGAAGCAAAATTTGGTTCTCTAGATTTTCTTCAATTTCAGCTTTTTGATCTTGGAGTTCTTTAATTTGTTTCTGAAGATTTTCAATCTTATTCTTATTCAATTCGTTTTCCTTATTATAATTTTCTTCCAACAAGGAAATTTTTACATTCAATTTATCATTGTTGCTCTTCGCATTTTCTAAATCAATTTCGATTTGATTATTTGTGTTTTCAAGTTCCAAAATCTGAGATTTCAATTTATCAATCATGTCAGAATTATCTGAATTATTGGAATCCAGCTTTTGGATCCGCTTTTGTAAATTAGAAATTTCGCCTTTTTGTTTATCAACTAAATTTTGCAAATCCAATATCTCCATTTGTTTCTGATGCATTTCGTTTTGATGGTTTTTGTTTGCCTGGATCAGTTTTTTCTCTAAATCAGACATATTGCTTTCCATTTGGTCTTGAAGACTTATTGACAAGTTATTTAGCTCGTTCTTGTGCTCGTTTATCAAATTTTCTTTTTCTTTTTGAAGATTTTCGATTTGATCGTTTAACTTTTGAATATTTTCTTCGTTTTTGAGTTGATTTTCATTGAACTTTTTGCTCAAATCTATTTTTTGCTGGTCTAAATCTTTGATCTGTTTCATGAGATCCTCGATTTCTTTTAGATTAGACTTCTTTTCATTTTCGACTTTCGATATTTTGTTTTGCAAATCATCAATTTGCTTTTGATTTTCTTCTTTCAATTTTTCTAAATCTTTCTCCAATTTGTCTTTTTCTTCTTCGAGTTTTGACTTTTGGGAGTTAATTAGATTCAAATTCTCTTCGTACTTGATTTTGTTCTTTTCATGTTCTGATTTCAGATCGTCATCGAATCGTTCTTTCAGTAATAATGATTCGTTCATTAATTCCTGCTTTTGTTCCTCGATCTCATCTTGTAGCATTTCCTTTTCTTCTTTGAGCTCGTTGATTTTCTGTTCCAAATCTTCAACAGTTTTACTTTGGCTGTTTTCTAGCTGGTCAAGTTTCTCTTTAAGTTCTTTCGATTCTAAGGATTGATCTTTGAGTTTTGCAGTCAGTTCTTCTATCTCTAATTGTTTCTCTTCTTTAAACTTTTCGTTTTCAATCAATCTTTCATTCAATTTTTCAATTTCTTTTTCATTTTGGATTTTTTGGTCTTCAATATCTTTTTGAAGTTTATCTTTTTGTTCCTGTAAATCATTCTGCTTATGAATAACTTTACTTAACTCTTCTTTATGCTGTTTAGTTTGTTCATCCAATTGGTTTTGTAGTTTTTCTTTTTCTGATTCAAGATTATGCAAATCAGAATTAAGCTTTTCCAATTCACTTTTATGTTTTTCGTTTAAGTCTTTCTCCAAACTAAATTTATCTTGTTCGATCTCTTTGATTCTGTTTTCTAATGCTTTAATTTTTTCTTCATTCTCTTGGATTGTGTTTTGTAATTGCTCTTTTTCTGTTGTGTTTTGAATTTGATTGAGTTTGCTATGTAAGTCGTTGTTTTCCCTTTCAAGTTTTTCTATTTGTTTCAACAGGTTTTGAAGTTCTTCTTCTTTCAGTTTGTTCTCTTTTATTAAATCATCATTCTCGGATTTAAGTGAGTTAATTTGATGATCCTTGTTTGTATTATCAGATTGAAGAGAATTTATTTGGTTTTGCTTTTCGGAATTTTCCAATTTGAGATTGGAAATATCATTTCTTAAGGAGTCAATAAGTTTGTTTAAGTTTTCAATTTCATTTTTATGGTCATCTATTTTTTGTTTGATTTGTACAACTTCGATTTGGTCTTCATCATCGTTATTTAGTTCCAAATCTCGTGTTTTAAGATTCAATTGTTGAATCTCTTCATAGTGGTTCTGCTTTTCTTTTTCAAGTTCATCAACTCTTTTCTGCAATTCTTCATTTAATTTGTCCTTATCAGTTATGTCTTGTTCAAGTTTCTTCTTTTCTTCTTGTAATTCATTTAATTTCTCTATTAATTCATTTGGATTTTGTTTTTGCTTTAACTCTTCTATTTGTTCCTTCAGACCACTGATTTGTGAGTTGAGTGCATTCGAAATTGTGCTTAAAGTGTTTGATAAATCACTTAATTGGTTTTCTTTTAGTTTGAGATTTTCTTCTAGTTCTTTCTTGTGATGATTCAGAGATTGGATTTCGTCATTCAATCTCTTAATCTCGTCATCATTTTGGTTTTGTTTGATAAGTTCTCCTTCCAATGATTTTCTCTCTCTATCAAGGTTTTCTTTTTCTTCATTTAACTTATTTATTTCTCCCATCAAATTCTCAACCTGTCGCTTCAGCTCATTGTTATCTCTCTCTAAAATCTTTTGCCTTTCATTCAAATCTTTGTTTGCATTTTCCAATTTGTTGTTGCTTTCACACAGTTGATTGATATTTTCATTGAATTTTTTGATGTCATTTTGAGAATTGTCAAAATCTGACTGTAATTTGTTCTTTTCTTCATTTAGTTGATTGTTATTATCTTGGAGTTGTTGATTATTTTCAAGCAAATCATTGAAACTTTTATTGAGTTTATCTAAATCAGATTCCAGTTTCTTGTTATTTTGGTCTAAATTATCAAAATTGATTTGTAATTTCTCTTTACTCGCATTCAATTCATTGTAACTATCTTTAATCCTTGAATTTTCATCTTTAACCTGAGTATGAAGTGACTGTAATTCATCGTAATTTCTCTGCAATTCGTCTATTTTGTCTTGAAGTTCTTTAATTTTTTCATTCAACGAATCATTTCTCTCTTTAATGCCGCTTCCATCTATAGAAATATTATCAATTTCTGTCAGGTTGTTCAAATCAGTTGTCATTGACTTGTATTTATCCAATTCATTTGATATTTCTTCAATTTTAGACTCATTTGATTCTTGGATTCCTTCCAATTCACTGATTCTTTCCTTCAAAAGCTCATTTACGTCGTCTAATTGTTCCTTCATTTCAGATATTGTCTGATTATCATCTTTCAACTTCAAATAGTTTTCTTCGAGTTGATCTTTCAACCCTTGTAGTTCCGTAATTTTCTTCAGTAAATCTTCATTTGATCCATTCAATTGATCTTTAACTTTCAACAATTCATTCAATTGGTCAACCAAAACTTTGATTCTCTGAACTAATTCATCGTTCTTTTGATGCAATTCATCAATTATTTTTTGGTAGTAATCTTTATCAACTTGTAAAGTGTTTAATTGTGAATTTACATCGGATTTTCTGTTTTGGAGTTGGAAAATTTGTCTTTCTATTTCTTTATTTTTGGATTCAGAATTATTGAGATCTTCATTTAATTTTTCTATTTGTTTATCTAAGTCTGATTTCTCTTTCTCAAGAATCTCGATTTTAATCTGTAATTCGTTCAAAATAATCTGTAGATTGTTTATTTTTTCAGCAAGTTCTTGTTTTTCTTTTTGGAGTTGTTCATTTTCTTTATTTTTCATATCTAGTTGATTTTGAATTTTATTTGCTTCAGCTTTGGATAATTCCTCTATCTGTTTGTTAACATTTTCCAGCTGGTTTTCAAGGAATTCGATTCTCTTTGAAGAATTTAATTCAGAATCTGTTTTAGCATTTTTCAATTTCTCATTTTCCTGTTGGATTTTTTCCAAATCTCTGTTGAGTTGACGCTGTTGTGTCTTGAATTTGCACAATTCTAGATTCAGTTCCGTTATCTTGTGCATCAATTCTTGAACTTTTTCTTCCAATTCCTTATTTTTATCAACTAGTTGTTGGTTTTGAGCTTTCAAGTCTTTTTCTATATTTTCTCTCCTATTCTTCATCGATTCTAACTGTTTTTGTAATGCAGTGATCAGAGCATCGTTTTTGGGTTGATTTCCATCTTTTTGATTTGAAATCTGAATTTCCATATTTTTGATATTCTGTACGAGATTTTCTTTCTCTTTTTCTAGATCAGAAACTCTCTTTTTGTAATCATTTAGCGAATCTGCCTGCTGCTTAAGATCTTCTCTTTCTTTTGCTAAAGAAGAAATCTGTTTTTGTAAATTGCTTTTGTCATTTTTCAATTCGATATTTAGTTGATCAACTTCATCTTTTTGCTTTTGGAGATTATGGAGTCTTGAATTAAGTTGAGATAAATCGTCATTATTTATTTGTTTTTGTAAATCAATAATCCTTTCATTTAGCTCCTTGATTTTATTGCTTTTCTGGGATAACTCTTCATCAAAATCTCTTTTCTGTGACATGTTTTGTTGGTTCAGATTGTCATTTATTCTTTTTAATTTTTCGATTTCTTGTTGTAAAAATTTCTTATCGCTTTCGAGATCTTTAATTTTACTCGCCATTTTTTGTTTAGCTTCCTTGCTTTCATTTAGCAATCTTTCTGTTTCAAAATCATTTTGATTTTTGATTTCAGAAATTTGTTTTTGTAATTCTGAAATTTCTTGCACTAGTTTCTCGATTTCTTTTTGTTTTTCTTCGTTGGATGATCTCAAGCTTGCAATTAAATTTTCATTTTGTCTGTTGTTTTGTCTTAGATTATCCAATTGTTGATTAAATAAATTGACTACTTCTTCGTATTCGTCTGAATTATCTTTTGCTAATTTCTCGATCATTTTCTGTTGATTATTCCTTTCTTGTTCTAAGTCTTGTATCTTTTTGTTCTTTGATTCAATCTCATCCATATTTTGTTTGATTTTTCTGTCACTTTCTTCTTGAATGTTTTTGATTTTGTTCTGGAAATCTTCAATTGTTTTCTTCTTCTCTTTTTCAAGTTCGTTAATCTTTGACTGTATATCATTCATCTCTTTCTTGTGATGCTCATTCTGCAAATCAATTTGCTCATGTAATATTTTTCTTTGGTTTTGCAAATCATTCAATTTTTGATTTAATTTATCTATTTCATTTTTGTGTTTCTCTTTCTCTTCGTTCTCTTTTTCGTTGAAATTTGAAATTTCGGAATTCAGAGATTGAATCTGATTTTGAAGGGTTTTGATTTGTTCTTTTTGTTTGATCGAATTTATATTGAAGTCGTTCAAAGATTGCTCATACTCTGTGATCACTTGTTGCAACTCTTTCTTTTCTTGTTCGTTCTGAGAGATTATTTGCTCCATGTTTATCTTTTCTTTTTGCATTTTGGATTTTTCGGTATCGAGATTTGTAACTTTTTCTTTCTCTTGATCGATTTCTTGCTTCAATTGATTGATCTCTTGATTCTTCTGTTCGATTTCAGAATTTCTTTTCTGAAGATCTGAAATAATTTCATTCATTTTCTTTTGATCTTTATTTGAATTGTGATCGTTCATCATCTTATTAATTAGTTGTTGCTTTTCACTTTCAAGTTTCTTGATTTCTGCTTGAAGTTTTTCCATATCTTTCTGATGCTCTAAATTTAGATGATCAAAGTTTTGTTCCAAACTACTTATTTTATCTTCATATTCTCTTTGCTTCTCCTCAATTCTATCAATTCCATCTTCTCTTGTTTGCTTTTGATCTAATAAAATCTGATTCTTATCTTCAAGATCCTTAACTCTTTGTCGAGCTTCGTTAAGCTGATTTTGAACAATTATTTTCTCATTCTTCAAAACATTTAGCATGTTTTTGTTTTGAAGATTCAATTGATCGATTTCTTCCTGTTGTCTGTCATTTAGGACTTTTATGTTGTCTTCGTATTGTTTCTTGATGAACTCAAACTCGTTTTTGAATTTTTCTGATACATCGATGTAAACTGTTTGAAGTCTTTCCTTCAATTCATCATTTTCAATGTAAATTCTTTTCTGTTGTGACTCTAACTCGATGATTCGATTAAGTCCGCGTTTGATTTCTTCTTGAGACTTGTTTCTTTCCCATTCTCTTTCTTCTTCGTGCTTCTTTTCCTCTTCTTCTAACTTTCTTTCTAAGATTTGTTTTCCCTTTTGAAGATCTGAGAGGTCTTGTATGTTCTTATCATATAAACGCCGAAGATCTTTCGTTTTCTCTTCATATTCCTTTCTGGCATTTTCGATGTTGTAATCTAATTCTTTAGACAAGCTTTCATACTTATCTTGATAAGATTTCTTATCCGATTCTAACTTGGAAATTTTATCATTCAGCATGTTCGTCGTTTCATAATGCTTATGATTTACAGAATCTAATTCAGATTGAAGATTTTGGCGTTGTTTATCGATCATACTTAATTGGTTATTCAACATTTCGACTTCCATCTCGTAAATCTTATCTAATGGAGCATTTTCCAAGTCAAATAATTTATTTTCTTCTTCAAGTAGGGAATTATAAGAATATTTCTGCTCTTCGAGTTGTTTTCTTAATAAACATATCTGGTCAGAAATTTTATTTTGATTTTCAACCAATAATTTAATTTTATTTTGATGAAATTCAACATTGTTTGCATCGATAGCTTCGAAACTGTTCTTTTCATTTTGTGCAGTTTGTATTTGTTGTATTATAACCTTGGCTTCTAATCCATCTTCTTTTTTAAGGTCATCGTTTTCAGCAATAAAGGCATTTTTATCATCATCCAGGTTCTTTAGCTGGAGAATGAGTTTCTCAATCTCTCCTTTGTAGAGTTCTTTGTCAGAATCATTTGTTGCCGGATCATTCAATAATTTTTGAAATTCGTTTCTTCTTGTACGAAGAGAAGCTTTTTCGGATTCAATAGCTTCTACTGCTCTATTGTTATATTCGATTTCAATTTTGCGTTGTTCTCTCAGCATTTCAAGATCTTGCTCTAATTTCGATAGTTTTTCATTCAAATCAAACTCTTTAAGGTTGATCCTCTCGATCTCTTGGTTACTTATCCTTATCATGTTATTGTTTTTATGTTGTTCCTTATACAACACTTGTAATTCTTCCATTATTTGTGAAATTGATGATACAAACTGTTGTTTTTGGTCAAAAAGCTTTGACTTTGCTTCATTATCAACATTTTCGTGGTTTTGACTCTTTTGCTTATTAAATTCTTGCTCATTTACTTGTTTGATTGAGTTAATAACGCTTTGAAGGATATTCTTTTGCTCATCAATGACTTCAAGTGCATTATTAAGAGAATTTATATCATTATTATGTTGCAAACGCTCGTTATCTAGTATTTTTTGAAAATTAAACAAATCATTGTTAAATTTTTGTTGCAATTTCTCTGACTGGCGAATGTTTTCTTTCTTCTGTTCGAGTATTTCTTTCATGATTGTATTGTTTCTCCCTTCAACTTCATTGAAACATTTCTTTTGAGAATCTAATTCATCTGACAACAAAGAAACTTTTGATTTGTATAACCTCGCAAGTGATTCAGAACGTCTTCTCTTTGAGTCGATTTCTCTCATTGTTCTGTCAACCCTCTCTAATTCATCAGTTTTAAGATCAATTTCTTTTTGTTTGGCTTTTCTTTCTTCTGCAATCTTATCTGCTTCCAGCTTAGTATCAGATTCGATTTCTTTAAGCTTTTCTTCATGTTCCTTCTTGATGGTTTCGATTTTTATTTGAAATTCTTGGAAAATTTTATCTAATTCGTTACAAAACAATGAAAAACTGGAATTATTCTCCATTGATGCAGCATTTCGTAAAATATTGATTGAACTCTCGTCATTGCTATCAATAATAGCCTGGTAATAGTCATGTTTCCGTATTAAACTAACGATTTCTCTGATTGCTTCATCGTTACCTTGGAGAACCGCTAAATGCAATGGAGTAAAGTTTCTAAAATTGCGTGATAGTAGGGTTTTGGGACCATAATGTTGGACTAAGTAATGAAGAACACTATGATTTTTATTTTTGGTTTGAATTGCAAGATGTATTGGCAAATTTCCATCTCTATCAAGTGAATTTACTGCTACTGGACAAATATTGTCCATATATTCCAGAATTTCAGCCTGATCTTCTAAAATTGCAATTTGATAAAAGTTATTTTCAGAAAATTCAGGGGTTAAAAGTATCATTTGTTCTAAATTATCTATGCTCTTCAACTCTTCTATTTTCCCACCGCGGATAATTTCGAAGAATTGCTGAGGACTTAATGACATGAAATAAAAATTACGTAAAATTTTGTAAACTATTGAAATTATAATTTATGTTCTTTTAAAAAAAATCGGAAATATGTATATGTATATATACAAAATTATTCTGAAATTTTTAATATCAAAAATTGAATTGTTATTTCCAATTGAATTTTATTACCAATAAAAATGTACATTTTTCGATGAACTAAGACTATCATGATGTCAAAAGTAGGACTATTATGATGTTAATAGTAAGTCAGCAAAATCCCTATAACATGATGTTGAGTTGAGGAAAATTGAATGTCAATAGACCATCAGCTGGAATCTTTAAGCTCTCAATTATAGCCATTAATAGTTGCAAATAAATCATTCCTTAAAAAGCAGGTAATCAAATTACAACTGTTGAAATCATCGAGTTTTCTTTAATCTAAAATTAGTTTTTTTCTAAGACAATTGTTGAAAAAAAAAATCATTCATGATTTTACTAACACAACGTAAACATAAAATACAATAAAAGTTTAATGTGATTTTAATGGTGTGAATTGTTATACTCTCTTTTTTATAATCACAGGCAATATTATATTCGTAAGGGATAGAAATTTTTATTAAAAATAATACAAAATAACAATTAGAATGCAAAATTCTCGAATTCTGAGAATTCATTAAAATCGTCAAATAATCCTTGAAAAGCATCTTCATTCTGGTTGAATACTTGCATCAAAGCGTCTAATGAGTGGCCAGAAATTTGTTCATTGATAACTGGATTTGATTTCGGAGTAATTTGTTGAGAATATTTTTCGTTCACATGAATCTCTGGTGAAGAAGGTTGGTTGGTATTATAAATTATATTATCATCAATGAATTTGCTCTTATTTGAGCGTCTGATTATTTTTGGATTCTTATGCGACATTCCATGATATTTTGTTAAAGCACTGTTCCAACGATTTTTGATATTGTTTCCACTTCTTCCTGGTAAGTATTGAGATATTTTAACCCAATGAGGACCATATAATTTATATTTTTTGACAATAATCTCATCTTCTTCTGGTGTCCATGGTTTGTTAACAACATCTTTAAAGAGATACTGATTGTATCTATCGCGGCATTGACAAGCAGTTCTTCCAGGAAGGAACAAAGCAATTTCTTTCCATGTACGATTCTTTTTGTCCTTCGCAAGATCTCTCAGTAAGTTATCTTCTTCCTGAGAGAATCTCTTGCCGTGCTTATCTGGAATCATGTACTGGATAGCTGTCTCTGCTGGACTGTTAAGATAGGATGCACTGGATGACATTCTAAGTGAATGATTTTGACGAGCCAAATTTATCTTGTCAATTCCTAGATTTTTTCATAGAGAACTTTTGAGAGGTATATTTTTTTCATAGGGTTTCATAGAATTCCAACCGAAATTTTGAGCTACCAACTTTGGTAAAATGCTATTTTTATATTGGTTATTAGTATATATGATAAGAGATTGAAAGATATCATCGTTAAGAGTGTATAAACTATTCAAAATTTGAATCGCCTCACATTTTCTCGATTTTTTCATAGTATTTCGATTACTTCTTTCAATATAGAATACGAACAACTCTTTCAATTTCACCATCATTAATTTAAACATGATCCTTAATAAGATTCCATAATATTATATAAAACTGTTTACACCTCTCAAAAAAATAATCAGTGTCAAAGCCATCGTTTGAACATAAATATTAATTATCATGTTAAAACAAATAATAATTTCTGAACGGTAATTGATAGAAATGACCGTTTATTCAATTTAATAAAATTTGAAAGCATGGGATATGATTTCAATAATTACTTAATTGCCATGCACATAGAGGATTATATTTCAGCAAAATTCTGAAAAATTTTTTCAAAATCATAATTTCAAAATTCATAATGAAGCATCACAGTTTCCAATATATCTTGTATTTAAATTTGATTTTGATGATGGCTATTTAATTTCTAATGAATTGATTTATTTTCGAAAATAATATCTGGAAATGTGATTTTAATAGCAAATTTAATCATCATTTCCAGAATCATTTATCTGAGATCGTATGGTCAATACATAATTTAATATTCTTTTTGAAATGGGCTATGATTGTGAAATAGATACCAAAATTAAATAAAAAAAAATAAAAATAACTCTTAACTTTATTGAAATTTCAAAGAGTGGGATACATGATTTGTATTATATAAATTAATGATAAATATTTGGAAAGAGAGAAGAAAAAAAAAAGATTATTTTCATTTTCTTCTTTTCATGTAAGAAAATGCTAGCGCAGCAAACCCGGCGATAGCTAGGCCTGCCATAACTGCAGCACTTGCCTTAATTCCTGTACTAACTCCCTTTTGTTCGGTTTGAGGTTTACCTTGGTCCGATTGTTGATTACTTGATTTATCTAATTTTGATCTTTCTGCTTGGTTTTCTACAAGATTTAATTCTTCGTTTCGCTTCACCGGCATTTTTTCTTCATCTTCAGCGATATCAGACATATTTGGTAAATCAACACGAGCCTTTCTAACCATTGATCGGCCAAGTTCTTTGTCACCTTTATTGTATTCGATTAGACCAAGACCATATTGAGATCTTGGATTATCTTTAACTTGATTAAAGTAATCAACCGACAAATCAACATTTTCCCATGGACCATGAGGTTCTTCGTAAGGAGAGTATACATATCCCAATGTTATTTTAGCAAGCTCTTCCCCATGGTCAGCCGCGTATTTCAAATAATCGATACCTTCTTGTTGTGACAAACCCATTTCGAATAGTCCAAAATGGCCAAGAAGTGTTGCTGCTTGTGGAACTTGATAGTCTTTTACCATGGCTTTAAGTAAAACTATAGAATCTGTTAAATTCTGCCCTGTTTGTTGGCATAAGTTTGCAAAGCTAAGAACAGCTGGAGGAAACATAGCTGAAACCGAATGAAGTAAGAGATCTGTTGAGTCAATTCCTTGGGAAGCATTTATCATAAAGGTTAATAAGCAGCTTTGGGGATCAAGAGGTGTCTTTTTATTAACAGGGCCCTTGAAAGGTAAAGGCCAGTTGTCTTTGGTTGCTTTTTTAAAAATAAAATGAATAGTTTTATCAGAATAATGATAAGATATATCTGAAATAGGCCCAAATACTTTTCCAGATAAAAAAGGTAACTTTTCTTTAATAGTGGCAATTATATTGCCTGTTTCTTTATTTAATTTTACCGAAATATTTTCTGGTGTTATTCCTTCTGGAAGAACAGCTGTAATTTCATACTTACTGTCATCTTGTACAGGTAACCAATCATAGATAGATTGTAGCTTGGGTTCAACAAGATCTGGTTGCATAATTTTTAAAAAATAAAATTGGTAGCAACAGTTAATACCCCTATTTTTTTGAATGAGTGAATTCCAATCCACACTCAAAAAACTCGAAAGTAACAAAGCTGTAAAATCTGCTGTTATTATCGGACAAAATGGAGAAGTCATATACCCAGATGTAACAAAAGAAAATCAAAAGTTAATAGAAACGATTACGCAAAAAGCTTTCCCTTTTGTAGAACAAGCAAGAATACTCGTTAAAAATCTTGATGTATCAAATGATTTGTCATTTTTACATTTCAAAAGTGGGAAAGAAGAAATTATGATTGCACCTGGAGACAACGAAGCTTTGATTGTTTTATCTGACATTTCAAAAGTAGATAGCTAAATTGTTGATGTTATACTGCTCATGCTTCACGTTCATTTCAGAAATTATCATCTTAATTCCTGAGTATGAGAATTATAATAAATGTTTTTGCATTATTATGGCTACTAATTGTTTTATTAAATATCTTTATATTAGTAATATTGATAATCCTGTCACTTCTTTCAATGATATTAAGTCAAATTTGAAGCAGTTTATCATCAAATTCTTTCCTAAGTCTCAAGTTAAGCTTTTGATTATCTATTCTATCTATACCCTAAATAAGAGTCCTTTTCTCATTCTAGAAATGGTGACACCACACTTCTTTATTGCCTCGTTCAGGTACTTTTTTGGTAGCAACTACAAAAGAATTAATTCGACCCTCTCTCGTTTCTAGCCAGAATCAATATAGAGTTCATATGCAAAAAGTGAAACTACTATGGGTGTGGAAAAAAAAGTTTAGCTTGAAAATCCTCCAATATAATCTTTTTATTAGATTGAATCAGACATACATTACCACTATATAAATGTTACATTCTTAATTAAAAAAGCAAATATTGTATATGATTTTCAAAAATCTAATTTAGAATTTGATTTCGATTAAAGAAATGCAAACAATATTTATAGGTATATGCATTACAAGGCCAAGGTATTTTCCAGAAAGAGCAGATAAGCTAAGCTGGTAATATTGGGTGTGGGAACACTTTTTCAAACATCTTTATATTTCTCACATTTTTCGAACTTGAAATCAATAAAACTTACACCTTTAATCGGGGTGGGAAATTTTAGGTTGATAGTGTAATAATAAGCAACATCTATTGCTTGCAGAAATTGATTCTCGTCTATTTTGCCTTCTTTACAAACTCTTTTGAACTCTTTATTAAATATAACGATCATTTTAATTCCTATTGCCGGCATACTTCCATACATTGGCAAATCCCACATTTCATTATTGACATCTAAAATTAAAGAATCCTTAGCCATAAAAATGCATTTTAACATATTACTACCATTTGGAAAAATTAAAACTTTCATTTGGGAAAATTGTTTTCCATATTCTTCCAAGCATCCTTGCCTATCTATTTCATATTCCCATTTGATATCAGGATACTTTGCAACTGTTATATTATATAACTTTTCTAGATTTGTTACAAATCGACTATTAAATCTATTCATAAAAACATGCCTTGTTGGTATTATTTTTGTTAAATTGAGTTTCTCACGCAGCATACAGCTTAATTTACTGGCACTCTCCCCAAAATGGGCGTTATGAGGTCGAGGGTGAGTAGGTATTAAGATTTGATTACAATAAATCCATTTTCCGATTTCCAGGTAATAAACATTATTATCATAACCGAGTATTTTCATGTAATTACTGGCAAATTCTGAATAACCTGGTAATACAATTGTTGAAGATTGTAAAATTTCATCTGGCGTCATCATAAATGGAAACATATAGTCATGAGTGAAATGCCCAAATGATTGTTTACAAAAATAATGGCCGAACATTACTGCTTTTTCGATAAATTGTTCTACTACTCCGTCAGTATAATCATTAATCCATCCAGGACCTGTACAAAAAGGAGGGCTAATGATATGGGTATCATTGAATATGCACCCTTTCATACTGACAAAAACATTTTTATAAAGCGTAAACCTGGCAGTAAAATTACTCCAATAATCTACCATAGCACGCTCTCCAAAATGAGGAGGAAATTTATGGTTTCCATTAGAATGTGTAACTAGATAGTCAAATGTATCTTCAGCTAGATCAAACCAAAAAACCATATTTTTTCGTCTTTCCTGTAAAGTACTGTTATAATTGTATTGTTTTATTATATTTACATCACCTTCACTATTTACGATAGGGAAATGTCCCGCAATCTTTCTGGGAAAAAATAAAAAGCCTTGGAAATGGATCTGAGGCTGAAATTTATATAATGGTGATGATCGAATAGTGCAATTAAACAAAATAATTATAAATAAATCCAGTATTGCAATGCTACGGCGCATTTTAGCAAAATATATTTTCTGAGTGAAAAACGTTTTACGGGCATGATTATACGCCCGTAAAGGTCTCACAATAAAGAAATAATAAGGAAAGAGATGAATGTGAATGTCATTATACATGGGCAAATGGCGGGTTATTTGCCCTCCACATTCAATTTGAACGATAGGTGATGAGGAATGGAAAAATATCCCTTATAAAAAGTATAAAATTTTCTAGATTTTTTTGTTTTTGTGGATTTTTTTGAATAGTTTACTATCATTTCATCATGATATTAAACGAGAAATTATACTTTATTATTGAAGTTGATTGTATTTCTAAAGGAATTTGTGTTTTTAATTTTTTTTCTAAAAAATCGAAGAATTTATACAAGAATTAAGGGTGCACACGAGAGGATCATGTAAACTTCAGAATTTAGAACCTTATTTTTAGGCATTATCTTAGCTACCTATTTAAGCTCGAAAAGCAAAAAATATCATGTAATAAACAAAAATTTATCAAAAGTGACAGCTCTCAATTTTTTGACATCTGTAAATTCTAAATTGAATGAGAAAAATGAAATAATACTAAGCATAATACAATATTCTAGATTTAATTATAATTAGGAAAAAGTTAGTTTTGAGAGTACTTTTCATAGGCATATAGAATGAAATCTTCTGAAAAATAATATCACATAAACTCATATTATTTTCTAATATATAACTATTTTATATAAAAATCAAATTCAATGATCTTAAAAGCGAAGGATAAACCTCAAAATTTACGAATATAATGAGTGGGAATATAATGCTTATCTATCATAAAACCATATGAAATATCAATTTTTGCTTTACGCCTAATTTTTGACGACAATTAGCAAAAAATGTTAAATGTTAACACTCAGTCCATTTGAATATGAAAAATAAAATTGACTTTGATTAAATGTTTTTATTTATCATGCAATTCTTCTTGCGACCAAAGATTTGAATAAAAGTTCAAAAAATAAGATAGCTTAAAAAATAATATACGGTAGTGTTTACTAATAGATGATAGTATATAAAATTAAAATGGATTTGATCCAAAAATATATAAAATTTGATCATAAATAAAATCGTTTTAAATTACTTCATTTAAATTAAAAAAAAAAAAAAAAAAAAAAAAAAAAGGTAGTGGGGCTTCCAGGCACTTCGTGCCTTCTAGCCCTGAAGATGTTTAGTATAAATGAAGTTTTTATTCGGAAAATTGTTAGTCTTCTTGGTCGAAAACATTATATAATGTTTCACTTTTCACAAATTATATATGTTTTCATGTTTTGTCAAGACTTCTTCTTCGTAAATGTTTTGTCAAGACTTCTTCTTCGTAAATGTTTTGTTGAGACTTCTTCATCGTCAATGAGTGTAAATCAGACAAAAATATATTTTAGGGTAGAAGGTTAGATATAACCTCTTTTCTAACCTCCTTTCTACCCTCTTGAATTTGTCAAGACTTCTTCGTAAATGTTTTGTCAAGACTTCTTCGTAAATGTTTTGTCAAGACTTCTTCTTCGTAAATGTTTTGTCAAGACTTCTTCTTCGTAAATGTTTTGTCAAGACTTCTTCTTCGTAAATGTTTTGTTGAGACTTCTTCATCGTAAATGAGTGTAAATCAGACAAAAATATATTTTAGGGTAGAAGGTTAGATATAACCTCTTTTCTAACCTCTTTTCTACCCTCTTGAATTTTCATGAAATTTACACCAAAAATATATTTTAGGGTAGAAGGTTAGATATAACCTCTTTTCTAACCTCTTTTCTACCCTCTTGAATTTTCATGAAATTTACACCAAAAATATACTACTAGGGTCATTTACGAAGAAATCTCAACAAAGTCTTTACGATGAAGTCTTGACAAAGTCTTTACGAAGAAGTCTCAACAAAGTCTTTACGAAGAAGTCTTAACAAAGTCTTTACGAAGAAATTCATGAAAATTCAAGAGGGTAGAAAAGAGGTTAGAAAAGAGGTTATATCTAACCTTCTACCCTAAAATATATTTTTGGGTCATTTACACTCATTTACGAAGAAATCTCAACAAAGTCTTTACGAAGAAGTCACAATAAAACGTCTGTCAAAAACCGCTTTTCTGTCACTTTTCAGGAAAAAACATTTTTATTATTATATATAAATGAATTTTACAAAACCACCGTTACCGTTCTTTGGAAATAAGAGTAAATGTAAAGATATTATATTGAGAGAACTTAAGAAACTACCGAATGGTCTAACATTTGTAGATTTGTTCGGTGGAAGTTTCTATATATCCCATTTGTGCCATACAATATTCCCAGACTCAAAGATTATATGCAATGACTTCGACAACTATATGGACCGTCTCAAACATATACCAGACACAAACAATATATTGAAAGAGTTAAAAGAAAAGATACCTATAGGTAAGATGGAACGTATACCATTAGATAAGAAAAATACTGTCAGAGAGGTTTTGAAAAAGGCAGAGTATATTGACTGGGATAGTATATCTGCTAGACTATTATATAGTGGTGCTATAAGAGTTCATGACATTGAAACACTTATGTCAAAAGTTTTATATCTTAACTATACAAATGTTTTCAAAGAGAACATAGAAAAATATATTGAGGGTATAGAGTTTGTGAGATGTCATTGGACAGAGTTGTATGAAAAATATAAAGACAAGGAAAATGTTTTCTTTATAGTGGACCCGCCGTTCTATAACACATGGGATTTTCAATACCAAGTAGACTGGACTTTGAGAGACTCTTTAGAAACTTTAGACGTTTTACATAACCATCCATGCTTTTACTTTACATCCGATAAAAGTGGTTTGGAAAGTGTCATGAGATGGTTAGAGGACATACATGACTATGAGTTTAGATACGATAAGATAGAATATGAGAGAGGTCCTATAAACTGGAGAAAGTGTCATAACAAAGAAATTTTACTAGTAAGTAAATGTGGTTTGAAATAGGACTACTTGTTTTAGGTTTTTTCCATTGTGTCATTTATTTATTTGACGTGGCAGAAAAG